AAAATAAAAAGAGTTAAAGAAATATATATTACATTATATTGAATGGACCGGATTCAAGATGTGACAGATCATGCATTTTATCCTGACAACCTGTGGCAGAGATACTATGCTACGGCTTGCCGCGTGGGACTATGGGTAGGACAGTGACCAGAAATATGTAAAATAAAGCTACGTTGAATATAAACCATTAAATTAAACCAGAATCAACTGCACAGAGGCGGATAACACAAAGGAGATATACACACGATTGTCTGGTCCACCAGGACGCAACGCACAGCACACCGCTGGCCGGGATGCGATCCATAGTGCATGCAGTAGAGAATTAAAATCAATTACGTCAGAACAAGAGCTGGAACCAAAATGTAGGCATTCAAATATCAGTTCGAAAATATTATTTAATAAACCCACAGACGTGGTGGGGCTAAGTCCGTTACCACTTCCATTGATGAATGGTTTGATATAGTCCTCGACACATTTCGCGATCTCCAACCCAGTGCGTTGCTCGTTAACATTACGTATACCACGTAAAAACAGAAGTAGCTGAATGTGATTGTCCTCCTCAGGTTGTGACGTCACACGATCAGATGTAGTACTTGTTTGATGCCGTACACCGAGAGGGTCAGGTTCGATACCCGACATGAATACAATAATGTGCTCTTGAAGCCCATTTCTGAGGTCCCCTGCCGTGATATTGTTGGAATATTGCTAAAAGCGGCGTAAAACTAAACTCACTCACTCACTTGTTTGCTGAACACGTGTATTTCCACAGCTTCTACCATGATTTCCAGTAAATACTGGATTGGTGATTGGTTAATCAAAAGTCATTCAGAGGTATAAATCACATCGTCATACATCGGATTTTCAAACACAGTATATATGTTTTAAATCTTTATAACGCAGTTATGGCAGAATGGAGATAAACGTACTGTGTTGGAAAATCCGAGAATTTATATAACCGAAATATAAGTAGCTCTTAATTTTTATTTTAAAACCGAACGCGTAGGATTGGGTAGCGTTCGGGTTTTAAATGTTGTTTAGAGCTATTATAATTTCGTTATATACCCTCGGGTTTCTGATCTCCCCTAGTTATCCGTTTTTCTGCATTTCATGGCGTACAACGGGCACGCAAGGACCCGATACATCCTTGCGCGCCATTGCGTCATTCTCTTCCCACAGAGGTTACTTGTCATATCTTCCTACGAACCTCTATTCTAAGCGCAGCCCTTTCATGGTGCGAGTGTTCGGGAATCGTGATTGGTTGCAATCAGATTTGGTTGTGCAATCAGCGACGTTGTTTCAAAATTGATCATGCGCAAGGCCTCGGTAATTTCCGTATGCTTCGGGGAAAACTGGAACCTCTTCCCCTGCGCGATGCGCAAACGTTTCTTCCTAGACAAGAACTCAGTCGTACAACGGCGGATCAATGGCGGACCTCCCATCGCCCTCGTTGATAACGGACAAGCTAACCATTAAATGTCTTTTTGTGTCACATCAACACAAACCCCGGCAGAGGAGGGATGTTTGTAGCCCCACATTTTACTTCCTATTAGTCAAGTTTAGATCTAAAGGCGAAGGAAAACTGGATTTGTATGGATAGTGAACTTCTTTATTGCAATGAGTGCGACGTTTCGGTGTAGGTACTAACACCGTTATCACTTGCTGTGAGGGTACAGCTGTGGAGGTATATGAGGCACAGCTAGGGAGGGTGAGGTACAGCTGGGGAGGTGTGAGGGTAGTGCAGCTGGGGAGGTGTAGAGGCACAAATAGGGATGGGTGGGGGTACAGGTGGGAAGAGGGTGAGATACAGGTGGGAAGGGGTGAGGGGTACAGGTGTGGAGGTGTGAGGGTACAGGTGTGGAGGTGTGAGGGTACAGGTGGGAGGTGTGAGGCACAGCCAGGGAGGTGTGAGGTACAGCTGGGGAGGTGTGAGGTACAGCTTGGGAAGGTGTGAGGTGCAGCTAGGAAGGTGTGAGGGTGCAGCTAGGGGAGGTGTGAGGTTCAGGTGGGGAGGGTGTGAGGGGTACAGCTAGGGAGGTATGAGGTACAGCTGTCGAGGTGTGAGGTACAGCTGGGGAGGTGAGAGGTTTAGCTGGGGAGGTATGGGTACATGTAGGGAGGGGCGATGTACAGCTGGGGATGTAGAGGAGGTACAGTGGGGTAGGTGTGAGGTACAGCTAGGCAGGTGTGAGATACAGCTAGGTAGGTGTGAGAGGTACAGCTAGGTAGATGTGAGATACTGCTAGGGGAGGTGTGAGGAATTTTACAGCTAGGTAGGTTTGAGATACTGCTAGGTAGGTGTGAGGTACAGCTAGGAAGGTGTGAGGCAGAGACTGCCGTGCTCCAGAACATTCTATGGATCGCGGCCTGGGTCGTTGTGACCATTTGACAATAAAGAGTCATATAAATCGACACGGAAGTTGTATTTAAATGATTGCACAACTGCGAACGCTTTCTTGTTAGACAACAAATTGAATATGTTCCTTAGACAGTTGTACGCAGTGTCACGCTACTCTCCACAGTCATAGATGAGGGCTGGCGTTTTATGGTAGAAGAAGTATGCTTGTCTAAATAGGTTAGTGAAGCTTGGTGTGGGCCTACCAGCTGGAGGGAATTATGTTTACATACTAGAACTGCTGACTCCATCTGACAGCTGAGGTAATAATTATTTGTAATATATAACTTCCTCACTAATCACCTGGTACAGTGTGATATTTATGCTGAGGCCTACCTTACATTTGGTCTTAGACACAGCTATGATCGGTCGCTGATTTAGTTTATGAAATACCTTTCACTATTTTATGCAACCTGTGAATACAGGTTACTACTCAGGTGGCGTGAGGTGATGAGAGTAAGTTATTTGTTTCATTCAACTGAGATTATAAAAGTTTATGTAACAAGCTATCAGAGATACCGTTGGGAGAATTAGAATGTGTTTACCATTATGTCAGTGATAATCTTGGATTATGAAGATTAATAATTATATTTACGTTGCCAGCATCATATATTTGCCATACATACCCAAGCACTGGTTAGAAATAATCGTATTCTGATCAGGAGATCTTGTGACGTTTGATTACACTCATTTTCCAATAAATAAAGCTACCCGGATTCCCAACCGTACTTCATTCACCACTATGGACTGTCAGGGAATCCTAGTTTCAGTTGAGAGAATTCTCTCCCTGCTTGTCTGTTATCATCTACAGCCGCCTTCTCCTGCCATATTTGTTCTGGTTCGTTGCGGCCTTGCTGCTGCTCGTGTGACAGCATCTTCTACGTAGATGACAAACACATGTTTTGGCCCTTATACGTTTCCATACCATACACTAACCAAAACAAAATATACTACCCATCAAAAAGTTAAGGCTCACTTAAATCACTCACTATATGGTGTGTGTGTGTGAGAGAGAGAGAGAGTGTGTGTGTGTGTGTGTGAGTGTGAGTGAGTGTGTGCGTGTGAGTGAAGGAGTCGTGTCTTTATATATATATATATATATATATATATATGTTGCAGTCAATGTCTACAATCAGGCAATGTCTACAATGTGTTCAACAATCAGTCAGTCTGTACAATACTTGGGCTAATTAATCAGGCAATGTACACAATGCCTGGACATTTTGTGCACAATGACTAAGCCAATCAGGCAATGTACACACTGACTGGTTATATCAGTCATTGCGCACACATTGCCTGACAGTAGATTACTGATTGTAACATATATATATATATATATATGTGTGTGTGTGTGTGTGTGTGTGTGTGTGTGTATCTGTGTGTGTGTTTTTACATCGCGATATATCTAAGATGAATTTCTCCACTAACTTAGGGGACCAACTGCAAACTGTATGCAGTTGAATTGCACAAGGATCATGCATCAAATGATGAAAAGCATGTGTAAATATCGTGCAATGTGAACAGCTGCGTTTCGGTGTAAAGTTTTGTTAAGGATTCGACAATTTTCATCATTTACTGAACTCATGACAAGAATCTTTTCAACGTTACGAATTTGTTTTACAATACATCAGTTAAACAGTACCTTTAACCAGTATGGAACATTTTGCAAAATCTAGTTTAGAACGGTTGACTGAAGTAAGTGGCTATATTTACACTAGTGAGTTTAAACATTTGATGAGAAGTATATGCACGTTTCCTGCTTATCAGCTGAAGTAAGTGGCTATATTTACACTAGTGAGACTAAACCTTTGATGATGAGAAGTATATGTACGTTTCCTCCCTTATCAGCTGAAGTAAGTGGCTATATTTACTCTAGGGAGTCTAAATCTTTGATGAGAAGTATATGTACGTTTACCTGCTTATCAGCTGAAGTAAGTGGCTATATTTACTCTAGTGAGTCTAAACCTTTGATGAGAAGTATATGTACGTCACCTGCTTATCAGCTGAAGTAAGTGGCTTTATTTATCTCAAGTACTCTAGTGAGTCTAAACCTTTGATGAGAAGTATGTGTACGTTTCCTGCTTATCAGCTGAAGTAAGTGGCTATATTTACTCTAGTGAGTCTAAATCTTTGACGAGAAGTATATGTACGTTTCCTGCTTATCAGCTGAAGTAAGTGGCTATATTTACTCTAGTGAGTCTAAACCTTTGATGAGAAGTATATGTACGTTACCTGCTTATCAGCTGTAGTAAGTGGCTACATTTACAATAGTGAGTCTAAATCTTTGATGAGAAGTAGATGTACGTTTCCTGCTTATCAGCTTACGTTTGTTTGATGTTAACGCCGTATTCAGAAATATTCCAGTTACATGGCAGCGGTATGTAAACAATTAGGTGTCGCGATACGCGAAGGCGGATGTATCGATGCATCGATACATTTTTACTGACGATACGATACGCGATACATCCTTGCGTGTATCGATTCCTATTTCAAAACTTTATCGATTCAAATTTTTATGCTATATCCATCTCCGTCAAAGTCTTCATAGTAAAATTATACCAGACCGATAAATAGATGTAGCTAGCTTTACTTAAAAAAATAGGTTGGAAACTAACAGCTTTTGTGATTGGCTAGACTATTTTGATGGACCAATCAGCGAGCGCGTACGTTGCCGGTAAGGTAATGCTATGAAAAGGCGCGATAATTATGTATCGCGATACGTATCGTATCGTGACCCTAAAATCGTGATACGTATCGTATCGTGAGATTGGTGTATCGTGACAACCCTATAAACAATCATACGAGACCAGACAATCCTGTGATCAACAGCATGAGCATCAAACTCCGGCAGTTGTAAAGATGACAACACTGAAACTGCATAATTTAAAAAAAACATATGTTCCGGTAATAGAGAAATACTACAATAATGGTACTGGTTCGTGTTTCCTGTAAAAGCTGGACAGATGTGAGTGAGTGAGTTTAGTTTAAAGCTTCATTCAGCAATATCCCAGCTATATGGCGGCGGTCTGTACAAAATCGAGAAAAAAAGGACCAGACAATCCAGTGATCAACATCATGAGCATCGATCTACGCAATTGGGAACCCATGACATGTGTAAAGCAAGTCAGACAGCCTGACTCCCCTGATCCCCTTAGTCGCCTCTTACGACAAGCATGTGTTACTGAAGATCAATTCTAACCCGAACCTTCACGGGTGAATAGATTGCACAATACCTACAGAATATATACACGTCACGTTTTCAGTATCACTCAGCTGGCGATATGTAGTTGACGACAGTGTTTTGTGTCATCCTCACAGACATCCCGCACTTGTCGGGTGTTTGATGGACCTGGTCCTGCTCCTCCTCTTCCTCCACCTCCGTGTCCTGCTGCTGGGAAACAATCTGCCAAAACAGGCATTGGAGAATCACTTCCTTCTTCTGGGTTCATGATAGGCTGGTGACTCCTGTTGTCGTCGTCCTCCAGTATTTCACAATACCCATGGTACTCGACAGCGTGGTCATCTTTGTGTTCCTCCACACTGTCAGGTAGAGGGAAGGCCGCAGGGAGATCATATTTATTCATCCTTGTAACAAAAGAAGTAGACTCATTTATACTATTTGAGTGTCAACCATGTTGCTTTATCCTGTCACCCATAATAACAAATGTCATACTTAAGAAGCATATTTTTTAACTTAACGTCATCTCATTTTAGCGTTATTTTATTTTAAGGTCATCTCATTTTAACGTCATCTCATTTAACACACTGAGTCTGTCATTGTCCACAATACCAAGATATTTTCCAGTAACGTTCACAAGCTCAATTATGTTTTGTATTTTCATTTCTACTTTGTAATATTCACAGGGCGAGTTTAACAAATGACGGCACATGTGTCCAGGTAACACCCTTTGTGTATAATGTAATCTGTTCCAAGTGTGGTACATGCTTATCTGACAAGTCACAACAATTGACACTTAAAATTAGTACCGTGTAGTAACGTGAAATAGCCATTTCATATCAGCTCTAAACACAATTACATATAGCAACTGCAAAGTGGCAGCTGTGTATGTTCATGCACTTTGGTAAACTACTAGGTTTGACCAAGAGGTGACAGAAAAGCAACAAAAGAACACCATCTCGGTAAACCAACAGGAGAATCGATCAAGACCAAAACTCACTTTTTGTCGATGTTTCTATATGTTTCAACAAGCCACAATACTGTTTTCCAGTTGATTTCTATGAACTACAAGTAATGTAAGGGTTGGTTGGTTTGTTGTTTTACGTCGCACATAGTAGCAATTTACAAGCTATATGGCGACGGTCTGTAAATAATCGAGTCTCCATAAGATAAATCCAGTGATCAGCAGCATGGGAACTTATCTAGGCAATTGGGAACCGATGACATGTGTCAAAAGTCAGCAAACCTGACCATTCGATCCCGTTAGTCGCCTTTACTATAAGTATTGGTTGCTGAAGACCAATTCTAACCCAAATCTTCACAGGTATGGTAATGTAAGGGGAGCACGACATGCAAAAGACAACAGAGCCAACTGTTTACTTCTGTTATGATCTTACCTGTCACATCTCACGAAATTGCGAAAACGGTAGGACACTGCCATCAACATCAGAAATAGAAGTGCTGATCCTGTTGAAAGTCCTATAGTAACAGCATGTGTAGCCCCATCTAAACAGACATAGATATACATAATGAGCATTGCTGACAGACTTAACTTTCTTTTGAACAGAGAAAAGAATCACGTTACGCCACATGGTCAAGATTTACTATTCACACTATGCCAAGGATCAAGTCATGGATTCAACAGAAATCTATGATGTGAGGTCCAATTTGGTTTAAATATTTAAGCTTATTGTAAATATGGATCATAGGTTTGTGTATGTCATTTCATCTTGTGGATCCCATACCTGCTATTGACAGGTGATGTGTACTTGTCAGTGACTCGTTCCATGATATGCAAAATGGTCGATTGCTGCCATGAAAACCATTTTATGGTTACTGATGTAACAAGTGCATAAGGTTAGATTAAAGTGACTGTATTGCCTCAAGAGGGGTTACCATATCATTATTTATCCAGTTATAAATGGATACAAGCTCAAAATATAAATCTACGTGTAAGTAAAGTTGTGAATTTTTGTGATCCTTAGCAAAGTGTGAGAAGTATATAATGATGAGCCTTTTTCTCATGACAATCAAAACTAAACATAAATATATCATCAATCATAAAACCTGTTAACAATTTATTACTTATACCTAGAAATTCCATACTTTTACTGATTGGAGCAATGTAAACCGACCCAGCCATCTTTACATCCATAGATACACTCTCCACTCTTCTCTTGGGTTCGGAACTAGCAGCTGTTTTGTTCAAAGAAATGTGGTTGACTCTGACAGTTTTCACTGCAATTCTTACTGCAGAAGGGCCATAAAACCCAGTTAGGGCATCCATGGAAACAAACGAAAGTTGCATGGTTTTATACATCGATTACATGAATGCCACTCGCAGTTCCGGCCGAAATATGGCGGATGACACTCCCAGCATGTTCCCCTGATGTCCTGTTGCATGCTTTGCATCTGTCAGAACACGTCTGACGAAGTGAGATCCGTAGTGCCCATCACTGCAGCCAGACACACAGGACACAGCGTCCAGATAACAAGCACTTTCCATCACAACCACCTGGACATTCTGTACATCCACCGCCTGGACTGTCACGTAATGGTATGAGGCACACCTTCCGCCCTGGTATCCAGATTACCGCACATCCTTCCGGAACACAACACCAATGCCAGTAGCTGAAGATTGGCATATCTTTCCCTTGCAAGTCTTACTGCAGACAGATTTTGCACATCAGGCCTGAAATAGCCATGGTCACATTGTGTGAGACACTGGGTCCTGAGATGTTACTACAGTCTGAACAGTGCTGACTCGTCTCTGCACATGGTGCAACTGGAACAGATTTCCTTTCATTTAAATATGTGTTGTCCTGTCCTTTCCTCATCCATTCCATTCCACCATTCCTTCCACCATTCTTCTTTCCATTCTGTGTCCTTCTTCATTCCATTCCTTTCCATTATTTCCATATTATTTTCTTTCCTTCCTTTATTTCTCCATCTTCTTATTCCATCTTTCCATTTCATTCCTATGTTTCCTTTGTTCTACTCACATAATTCCTTCTTCCATTCCACTGTCCTTCCACTATTTCCCATTCCAAGCTGTGTCCTTTATCTTTCCATCTGGTTTCCATCTATGTCCATTTCATTCCTTTCCATCCTTCTCATCCATATGTTCTCATTCCTCCATTCTTCATTTATATTTCCATCCATTATCATCATTCCTTTCTACTATTCCATTTCTCTTCCCTCTCCGTTTCTTCCTTCCATGTCCCATCCATCTTCCTGTCTCCATGTCTCTCCATCCCCATCCACCTATGTCCTTCCATGTCCATCCCCATCTCTGTGTCTCTATCCACCTACTCACCATAGGCTGTCCATACATCTGTGTCTCATTCATCCTGTGTCTCCTGTCCATCTGTGTCTCTTGTCCATACCCCTGTGTCTCTGTCCCATCCTATTTCCCCCTGTGTGTCTCATCTGTGTCCATCCATCCTCTGTGTCTCTCCCATCTTTTGTGTCTGTTCCTGTTCCTCCATCCTGTGTCTCTGTCCATCCTGTGTCCATCCATTGTTGTGTCCATCTGTGTCCTGTGTGTCAGTTGTGTGTCTGTCCATTTCCTTCTATACAGATACATTTCCGTTTGTCTCTGTCTCTGGTCCATTCCATTCCTTCCTTCCATGTCCATTTCTGTGTCCTTTTGTGTCCTTGTGTTGTGTCCATTTTCGGCCATATTTCCTTTTATTTTGTGTGTCTGTGTGTGTCTCCTTCTCTGTGTGTCCATCCTGTGTCTGTGTCTGTGTCCATTCCTGTGTGTCTCTGTGTGTGTCCATTCTTGTCTGTGTCCTTGTCTCTGTGTGTGTGTGTGTCTCTGTGTCTCTGTGTCTGTGTGTGTCCTGTGTCTCTGTCTGTGTCTCTGATCCTGTCCCTCCAGGGGCTGTCTGTGTCTCTGGGTCATCCTATTCCCTCGTGTCTCTGTCTCTGGTGTGTGGCTGTCTCTGTGCCAAATCCTCTGTTACCCTGTGTCTCTGTCTGTAGGAGTTGTCTGTTCCATATTGATCTCTATGTGATCTGTGTCCTGGAATCTATGTCTTGGTCTGATTATTATAGGGATTCCTCCTGTGATCCCGTTTCTGGGTGTCCCCATAGTGGAGTGTGCTGGGATCAGCTGTCAAATTCAGCTCCATCACATGAGCATGAATGCTCCATTGCAAGACGATTGACTTTCCATGTGGGTTCACATGGAAAGGCGGGGCATAGGGAAGCAAATATATACCTATTCAGTTCAGCGTCACAGCTACCCAGTAATATATACTACGGATACATGAACATTCATGTAATCGTGTGTAGATTTAAAGGAGGGTTCTATCGTATTACATGTGTCACCGCTATGTTGGCTATGTAGGAGTCCTGGAAATACACAGGTTGTACGTTACACGGTGAATTATAATTAATTTACAACTGAAAATATGATGATGATCATAAAACATCCTCTTTCCTTATCTACAGCTACTAAAATACTACAATATCTACAACTAAAACCACCACTACCACTACATGCATGTATGTATATATGAAGTATTTTTAATATAGGGAAGGAATTTTATCATCCAAAACTAGTGTTCCACGGGAGATATTGCTTGTATGATCATACATATGATATGTCCTAGGAGATATCAATATCATTTTGATAGTAGGTGCTGTACAATGCCCTGACATGATGCTATGACGTCAGGAACTTGGTGACGATCACAATGCTTTGCGCGTGTCAGCACTGCAAGTGTAATGAAATTACCGTGTTCTGAAGATACATTTTTTCACTGAAAACTAAACAAAGAGTGATTGTCGATGTCCAAATGGAATCTCACTCTCAGGTCTTCTGATATCAAATATATCAACACTCGCTAATAAAAGTAAAAATTTGCTTAACTTTATCAACTCGTATATATTATTTTAATATGAAGGAATTTTATCATCCAAAACTGTGTTCCACAGGAGATATTGCTTGTATGAGATCATACGATATGTCCTAGGAGATATCATTTTGACAGTAGATTTTGTACAATGCCCGGACAATGCTATGACGTCAGGAACTTGATGACGTCACAATGCTATGACATCGCTGCACTGCAAGTGTAATGGCAGTACCGTGTTCACAGATGTACATTTTTCACTGAAAACTAAACAAGAGTGATTGTCGATGATAAATAGAATCTCACCCTGGTGTCTTCTGATATCAAATATATCAACACTCGTTAATAAAAGTAAGCCTCGGATATTTGTAACTTTATCAACTCGTGGTGAGATATTTGATATCAAAAGACATTCGGGTGAGATTCTCTATATATTATTAATATGAAGAAATTTTATCATCCAAAACTGAGTTCCACAGGAGATATTGAATGTGTGAGATCATACGATATCTCCTAGAGGATATCTTTTTGATAGTAGATTTTGTTCAATGCCCTGACAATGCTATGACGTCATGAACTTCATGACGTCACAATGCTATCACATCGCTGCACTGCAAGTCTAATGTTAGTACAGTGTTCAGAAATGTACATTTTTCATTGAAAACTAATGAAGAGTGATTTTTTATGATAAATAGAATCTCACCCTGGTGTCTTCTGATATCAAATATATCAGCACTCGTTGATACAAGTAAAAATATCATCGGCAAGCCTCAGATATTTGTAACTTTATCAACTCGTGGTGATATATTTGATATCAGTAGACACTCGGGTGAGATTATCTATATATCTGTCCGTGTGTGTGTGTGTGTGTCAGTGTGTGCGAAAGTCAGATATTTGTTTAAAGGTCTCATGCAACGTAAAACAACTTTGCAGACTCTGATACGTTTCGGTATGGACTTACCGAAACAAATCATCAAAAAATGCAAATTCAACTTATAAAGTTGAAAAATAACGCGATGAAACAAACCGAAATCATAGTTCAAACGATTCACTAACTTTCCCCCAGCGCTTGGGGGAATTGAAGTGGTTTCAACAGCTGGGCTGCGCTCATAGCACATGCGCAGTGAAATAGGTTCGCGGAGCTTGGAAGCGGGTTGTCCGGTGAATATTCGGTGAAGGCTTTGGTGTGAGCTATTTTTCTACTGTTTTGTTGATATTTCACAGGCGCGAGCTTTTTTATATGTTATTACGGTAGATTGCCGATTTAACTGTTTATATAATTTCTTTTGTCTATTTCACCACACGTTCTTCTTACCGAGCCACTTTCTCAGTTGATACTTAAAAACAATGTCATTATTTAGCGTCGACAGAATTTCTAACTGTGATACAGATATGTCGCTGTCACAGACAAAACTCAATGTCTGTTTTATTGGCACCTATGTGTCTGCCTGCCCGTCTGCTAATGACAATATTCAATACACAATTTCAATCACTGACCACATGCAATTTGAACTTAACACCTATCAGTCCATACACCATAAACAAAATGCATTGATTTATGGCCCGAGTTCGGTCTCCGTCACATGATGTAATTACACAGACAGGCAGGCGTGATACTTGTACACATGACATGTTATGATGTCTGTTGATTGCAAAATGTTATACACAAAAAATGAGCATGTATTTACAAAACCCAACATCTCTATATATACACACACGATGAGCCGTGA